TCTGATACTAGCTATCTTTATTATGTCCTATATTGATAATATTTAGGATATAGGTGTTACATAAATAAATGGCGAGCTAGCCAGGAGGGTTTTTGTGCTTTGGTTCACACAAAATTTGGATCTATATCAATTTTTTTTTCCTTTTCTATCATCATCAACATGGATGAATTTCAAAGACTTGCAATAAAAATTCCAAATTCTGTTTTGGTTGAAGGCATATCAGATACAGACAGTAAAGACGAAGTAGTTGACTTTTTGAAGAAATATGGTAAAATTACCAGATGTGAAACTATATGTGAAACAGAGTCTGAGTTTGATGGGCAGTTTATTGTTGAATTTAGTAGCGGTGAGGCTGTAACTGGATTGCGTCCTATACTACCGTATTCATTAGATTCTTCTGAGAAGAAAGAAACATTTCRTATTTCTGAGTTATCTAGTGTATATGCAAAACATGTTACACAGAGTAAAACCACGTCCTATTTATTTGAGTTGGAGCAAATTGCAAAGTTGTCTGGCATYGATTTTGCTGAGGTGTTAAAGACTACAATGACTCAGATTGGGCAGTCAGTCACTAAACTTTATTCTGCTTCAAATGTAGAAGATCCCACTGAGGACTCTGAGGCTGTGGCACCACTCTCAGAGCCAACAATGAGGGAGGACCCAGCATTRTTGACTACCATTGCTTCTGATCCTACAGTTTCCAGACCAGGAAGTAAAYGGCCCATRACACACCTAAAACAGTCCCTTAATCAAGARGACATTCAACCACCTGAAATCCAGCGTTATGTAGTGGAACATATTATGAAGACTGAGGAGAGTGCACTCCATCTACAGAGACTCAGAGTGTTTTCTRGAAGACTGCCTAGACCAGCGCATGAAGCTGATTATGAGACCTGGCGGTCAGGAGTGGATCTTCTATTGAAGGATCCATCAGTTTCTGATCTCCAGCGTTCACGGAGGATAGTGGAGAGTTTGTTACCTCCAGCAGCAGACATGTTGAAGCATTTAAGCTCGGATATTTCACCCACTGTGTATTTGAACATATTGGATTCAGCATATGGCACAGTCCAAGATGGAGAAGAGCTTTTTGCAAAATTCATGGACACCTTTCAGGATGCAGGGGAGAAACCATCCTCATATCTCCAGYGGTTGCAGGTGGCACTGAACTTAGCCATGAAAAGAGGTGGTGTCTTAGAACAGGATGTTAACCGGCACCTCATAAGCCAGTTCTGTCGAGGGTGTTGGGACAACACTTTAATTGCTGAACTTCAATTAAAACAAAAGAAGTTAGTCCCACCNGGGCATGGGGGGTTGCCGGGGACGGGGCTGGCATTCTGGCTACACTGGAACTGTTTGGACTCCCAGATCATGGCTCCTCATTGCTATGGTTGTCCCTCTGGCCGGAGTTGCCGTCTGAATCTGTCGAGTGGTCGGCTGGGGATGTGCACTTAGTCGTTGGCGGTGTGTGGGGTGGTCAGGGGCGTGGCTTTGCTTCGGTGGAGGGGGCTGGAAAGGTCGCCCTGGTTCAGCCCTTGTAGAGCTTTGGCTGTCTGCTCCTCTACACCCGGAATGAATGAGTCCAACTCTGGGGTTCGGATGTGAGCTGCCCTCTATAGGGGCCAGGTGCATGTCCTGGACCTGGGGGGTATAGAGTGTGTATGGGGAGTGTGAGTGGAGTATGGCCTCCATTTTGTGTGTTTTTGAATGAGTGTTTGTGAGGATGAGGGTGGGATCGTGTGAATGTGTCTGTGTATGCTTGGATATTTGTCAGGCTGGGACTTGGGCTGCCCCCTCTTCTGGTTCATCTGGGGGCCTGCTGCTGGTGGTGGGGCCTCACCCCCTGCCACACTACCCTCTGGTGGGTTGTGCCTTTGCCCACTGGTGCTCTGGTGGCTCTCGGTGTCCAGGGCTGCGTGCTCGGGCATGTGCCTGGTGGGTCTTGGGCCTCTGGCTCTGGTGGGCCTTGGCTGGAGACTAGTGTGCCCTTGGAACTTGGGCCTCTGTGTCCATGGCCTGATCTGCTCTGGCGTAGCGGGTCCTGGCGGGCCCTGTGAGTTCGTCGCTGCTGGCCCCGGGGGATTACTGCGTTAATTTGGACACTCAGACATCAATTCTGAGTTTCACATTACAAGACAGGACACGGGGAGGCTACTCAGTGCATAGCAATGGCACCTGTGTGACGCATGGTAAGTCACGTGATGTCCAATCCAGTAATACAAATCAATGCTACCACCACCATACCGGATACTCATCTGGTATGATGGATAAGACGTTGGCCTTTCGACTCAGTTCTTCACCCTTAACAACCAAAGCAACATCCTAATTACTGAAGGTCTTGGCCCAAAGACACCAACAGAACCATATCATCTGCGAAAAGCAGAGATGAGACCCTCTGGTTCACAAACTAGACCCCCTTCTCCACGACAGTGCCTTGAGATTCTGTTCACGAAGACCACAAACAGGATCAGAGACCAGGATCAGTTCTGGTGGAGTCCAATCAAATCAACTGATCTAACCTAAATGTTTTAAGGTTTTGCGAAACCAAAGTTCCTGGAGAAAACCCTCACATGCACGATAAAAACCCAATTGGGAGACGAACCAACGATCTTCTTCCTGAAAAGTGAAGCTAACCTATTGCTCCACCACGCAGCCCTCATCTGGGATGCATCAACTTACAGTCCTGTTCATGAAATTTACTCGTCTTTAAATCCATACCTTTATTCTGAGTCAAGTCATTGACAAATAGGTCTTGGGGTCGTCCAGCAAAATCCTTGGCCTTGACCACCATGGCCTCCTTCATGGTCTTCAGCCCATTGATGACCACGGCTGGTTTGGGACCAATAAAAAGACTGTAGACATTTCCATAGGACTGCTTCAGCTGTAACAAAAAAATATCCATTATTATATTATCATTATTATTATTAGGAATGCACGATATATCAGCATTGACATCGGTATTGGTTCAATATGTAAAACTGAGCCAATATTAACATCAGATATTGATTACGCTTTTGTTACGGTTTGGGTTTTGTTTTGGGAGGGCCAACGGTTGGTTGAGCGGTGTCTGATCATAATACTGGCTACACAGTAATAACTACAAGAGAGACATGTCAGTGGTCATATATATAT